ATGCATAGAACAACTCGTTTTATCTCTTGAAAAGCTTGTTTCGTATCGTACGGTATCCTCGAAACCTGATTATGCCCAGGACTGCCGGCGTGGAGCATCTTACTTGAGGAATCTCTTCAAGCAATTGGGAGCCCGGACGGAGCTATTTAGCACCAAGGAGTCCAGGAATCCTGTGGTCTTCGCCCGATTCAGAGGCAAGAATAAGGGGCTGGCGATCGGCAAGACCATTATGTTTTACGGGCACTACGATGTAGTCGCAGCAGAGAATAAGGAAGAGACATGGTATGCCAATCCTTTCGAGATGCAAGGTGTCAATGGCTATCTTTATGGGCGAGGTGTATCAGACAACAAAGGTCCAATATTGGCGGCTCTTTACGCAGCTGCAGACATAGCCGCCGAACAACAGCTCAATTCTGACATAATTTTCCTGGTAGAGGGTGAGGAAGAATCCGGATCGAGAGGTTTCCAAGAAGCCATTAAAGAGAACAAACAGATCATTGGGGATGTCGACTGGATTCTGCTAGCGAACAGCTACTGGCTCAATGATGATATTCCTTGTCTGACGTACGGCCTCAGAGGGGTCATTCGAGCCACGATCGAAGTGGCAAGCGAGCGCCCTGACCTGCATAGTGGTGTCGACGGTAGCCAACTCATCAACGAGGCTTTGAAAGACGTCATCGCATTGCTCGCAAGGCTGACGGGCCCCAACGGCGAAGTCAACATCCCTGGTTTCTATGAAAATATACCAGCTATGACACGAGAAGAGGACGCCATGTACGAAGCCATCAGCAGGACGTTACTTCGCAACAATCCCGACCTTGGCGACGCTGAGAGTCTCACCGCATCATTTAAAGCAAGATGGAGAGAGCCTTCGCTTACCATTCATCGTGTTGATAATTCTGGCCCTGCAAATTCCACCATCATATCTCGCGTTGCGAAAGCGGACCTTTCTCTCCGCTTGGTGCCAAACCAGACCACTGCGGAGGTCAAAAGAAAGCTGCTGAAAGCATTAGAAGTTGCCTTTGACCATTTGAACTCCTCAAACGAGCTCACGATCAAGATAGAACACCAGGCTGAACCCTGGCTGGGGGATCCCAAGAACGAGATCTTCCAAACACTCGAGAAGGCAGTGATGGAGGTATGGGGTTCCAAGGGCCATGAAAGAAGAATATCCATCCCAGCAAAAAAGCGGGCGTCGAAGGATCTCTCGAACGGGCTAAAAAGCCCCAAGCTTCCACCAGCGACATCTTCAACGCTTTCAAGCGGTGGTGGCGGACTCTCCCACACCGACATGGCAAGAAGCAAGGACGACACTAAATCGCAGAAACAGCGCCCTTCGCAAAAACCCCTCTACATTCGCGAAGGTGGGTCCATTCCTGCCATCCGTTTTCTCGAGCAGGAGTTCAATGCTCCGGCGGCGCATTTACCCTGTGGTCAAGCCAGCGATAGTGCTCATCTTGACAACGAGAGACTGCGGCTACTGAATCTCTACAACAGCCGAAAAATATTCAAAAAAGTTTTCCAGGAATTGCCATTGCGATGATGAGAGAAGCCTTCTTCGATTGTCTGGTATGTACGGCTTCGTGCTAGAGGCGCCCAGCTTATAAAGTAGCATTCGACTACTCATCTGGTATCCGTGATGACCAAGCCTAAGGTACGCAGATTTGGAGTTAGCGTCGCTCCTTTTCAATGAAAAGCCGAGACCAGACAAATTCAAAGAGCAGAAGAATATTTTCGCTGCTGCAATACGGCGTTTTATCCAAATGGAAAGACAGTCCTGGAGAGTGAGGAAGTTTTCTGCTGCCGAAAGATGGCATTTCGCCCAGAGAAAAAGACATTTCTAGAGAGCGAAGGAGCTTTCTGCTCGAGAGGTGGCTTGTGACGCCGAATCGCTACCATACAGGAAGGAAGTACCTCAAAATGTATGTTCCTTTTAGGTAATAATTCAAGGGACGAGAAACGTTTGAAAAGTAGACGGATCCTTTCGCTGTCGAAAGATAGCATTTCATCTGAGTAATAAGACAATTCTGGTGGAGTAAAGGAGCCTTCTGCTCTGGACGGCAGAGGCCTTATGTCTTATGCGGATAGAGTCACTGCACTTGCGAGGCCATATCGGATGCTACCAATGTAACATTTGCGGTTGTATCTCACAATAAGCTTCGCTCTGAAGGGGCTCAGATCGCAGCACTTCCGTAGTGCTTGGATCTGGATGGAGAGGAATTGCGGGAGCTCGAGGGAACAGGCACTTTTGATCGAGACTGCAATTCTCACCGCCATGGGAATTTGGGCAGTCGTGAGAAGCTGCGCATGATTCGGAAGGTAGATGGGAAGTCTACAAGCAAGACGAGGGAGGTTCTGGGTCTGGTTATTAGAAGATAATTCACATCAACAAGATCAAATTGCCATTCATTACTCTATACTTTCACCCTACTGATTTACACGCAGGTAAATTGTCTTTAATTGGAAACATTCAGCTACAAGGCTTAGCGAGGAAACCATCATTCCACGACAATTCCTACACTAATTCCGGATCGCAATAATAGATGGGGTTGAGGAGTGTGGGGTTGGGGGAGTGTTTGCTATTCAGCACTGCCTCGCCAGCCTGCGGCACTTGGTGGCAGCAGCGATGCAAATCTTTCAGCCCCCTACGATCATTTAGCGCTGGATCCAAACCATGTCAATGCGAGCGCAAGACATTAGTGGGCACCCGCCGTTTTTGGGCTTTCATACTTGAATGTTGATGTCTCTTGCTGGACCTCGTTCTACATAATGTGAACGCTTGAGAAGGTGGCAGAAATGGTAGACCCGAGTGACGATCCCTCTAGCCCAGTGTCTAGGCTTCCCTATGCAGAAAAGGAAGTCAACCATCAGACTGGACTCGAAGTCGATCATACCCAAGATGGACTGCGAACGGTGCAGGATACCGCAGGTCTCGAGGCTGTTCCAGCAGAATATCAGAAAGGAGCTATACCGCAGACAAGTTTTGCAGCCCCAGAGAAGGAAGCATGGAACGACGCTGATAAGGAAATAATCTCGCCGGACGAGTCAAAGGAGCCTGAAAAGCAGTCAACGTTGAAGAGGAGATGGAAGCTTTGGGCCTTGCTGGCTGCGCTTCTGGTTATAATTCTTGTGGTTGCTATCGCGGTACCGTTGAGTGTACGGCATCACAGCAGGTAAACTTACAATTCCGCAATGAAACCGACTTTGCAGATATGGCTGACCAATGCCTCCTCTTGAAGTACCAACTCTTCCTCAACCAATAAACCCTCCGGCAATACTTCCTCGGGCAGTACTTCATCCGGCAACTCGAACTCGGGCTCCACGCCTAAGGCGACTAGAATCGCGTCTACAGAAGGCGCATTCAATGGCACTGGCCTTGCAACTTTGACGGAGAATATCAGTACGGAACCGTTACTCCATCTTTTCTATCAGAATTACACTGGGAACGTTCAACATGCGGTGAGGGCGCCTGGAGGGAGCTGGACTGGAGGTGACAGCAACATCACTACCGACGCAAGAGCTGCAACCCCTTTGGCGGCTGTAAACTACACGAGCAATGGGAACCTTACCGTAAGGCGCCATCTCCTCTCGTCCCTGTTACCACCATTGACAGTGGTAATTCTAGGCGCATGTGTTCTATATCGACTCGGCAAACTTATTGCAAGAGAAGATCAGTACAGACAACATGACTACCTGGACAGATGGTCCCCTTGGCGACTCCAAATTCGAGGCATCAGAGGCCTCCACAGCCATGACAGCATTCTACAGCGGATCATGGCTTGGGAAGACCGCGGGCAAAAGTGCAGGCATACGGCTGTACTACGGAGCACCTGACAACTGCATCCACGAGCTCAGTTTCAGCCTAGGCAGCTCTTCATCGTGGAATGCAGCATCCACTTTGGACAGTAATACCAACGGCAATGCTGGGATGACCTCGGATTGGCTGGAATCAAACGCAACGGCTCAACTGTGGTCATTGGATACGAGCAATGAGCTCAAACTCTGGTACTACATCTACAATACGACGAACCAAAACGACCAAACTCCCGCCAACATAGCGTACGGCCAGTGGGCTGAAGGTTCGCATCCCCTCCCCTCCATTCCCAAACGATCTAACATGACAACACCCAGGCATCTCCACCGCCCCCGTAAACGTCCTCACGAACTCATCCCTAACCTACGCCCTCGGTCTCCTCGTCTACCAGCAACCGAACTCCGATGTCGAAGCCATACCCCCCCTCACAGCCGGCCCCTCCGGCGTAGGCTCCTGGGGCGCAGTCGTCGACAGCGGTACAAACAGCATCGACACCGCCATGACCGGCGGCACGCTCGCTGCCGCCGCGTTGCCGATCGGGACGGATACGGATGTCAGCACGAACGGGACGTACCTCTACGTCTTCAACCAACAGAACGGGAGCGATATCAGCCAAAGCCCGTGGTACGAGAATACTTGGGCGACGGAGAGTCTGATCGGCAAGAGGGATTTGCAGGATTGGAGTATCCATGAGGTCGATGTTCTGGCGCAGTTGCCGCGGAGTCGGGATGTGAGCCCATCGGAGGCACCTCTGGGGCGAGACGTCTTCGGAAGTCCCGAGGACCGGGGCAGTGTGGGTCGGATCTTGTCGGTATACGACGCTTGGCGCCGTGGTTGGAAGAGGTCAGGTATCGGGAGATGACACGGCGTGGTGTAAGAGGATGAAGCGGGAAATCATGTATAAAGGGGGAGGATCACGCCAGCAGCGAAGATCCCAGAATCTTCCGAGTTGATATAGACAGTCGATTCATTAAGTTTGATACCCACAAGAGTACGCAAAACCGAAAAGGTTCGAGCTCTTAGGACCGCCACTGTTTCTGACAATTTGTCTCTGCAGATGTGGAACATTGAGCTTCTCTCTATGCACGACTTTTGCTATATTCTCTTGTATTACTGATGGGATCGAGCTAAGGTAATCATTTATGTTCATACCGCCTTCTATCCGAAAGCCAAACCCAAGAATCGTCTAAAGCCGTCTGTGTCTTGCCTTGAAGATCGATATCCGGTCGTCATAGAACAAGATCTCCCTCAGCTTCAGCTTGACATTAGCCCCACTGCCGGCAGGGTCCCGCTCGTCGTCATCGGTGACGGGATCGATGTCCGAGTCCGTACCCTGTGCCTGCGTCTGTGTTGCCGGAGTCACGGGCGCTGGGTCTTCGTCCTCGCTGTCATCATCGTCGTCATCGTCATGGTCATGGTGAACCTCGGCATCCTCATCATTGTCAGATTCACCGCCTCCTGCAGTCGATGAGGCGGAGCCAGCTCCGTCCTTTGACTTCCCTAGCGGAGTCAGCATTCCCACTCATTGATGAATATTTGATTGATAATAAGACATGTTTGGGCGGTAGAAAGGTTGTAAAATGGTAAACTTGTTCCTCCAATATGTCTCGCGACCATTAAAGCAGTCTCGAATAGGAAGGGATGACTCCGAGAAATGCCATACTTACTATCTTTCGTCTCCAGAATCTCGAAGCACTTGTCTTTTATGCCCAAATAGCAAAGCTCCACCTCTGGCCTCAAAGCAACAACATCTATGGCGCTCAAGGCGAAATCCTTCACGTTCAACGAACCTCCGTAGGGATGGTCGGCGATATAGGGTACGTACAGCGAGCGGAGGTGAGGTATCTGAGGTAGTCTCTGCAGGAAGAAGTGCCAGTCTTTGTACTGGATAGTCATCGCAAGCTCCCTGAGTCGACTCATCCTTCCACTAGTTATGAATGTGAGTACTTCACGGGTGAGCATCCACTTTTTAGCGGTTACGCCGCGCATACGGCTTCCTTGAGAAACAATGGCGCTGTCAATCATGACCTTCGTGAGGCTAGAGCGGTGGCGGCGTAGAGCGCCGCGATAAATGGCGTCGAGGGGTACTAACGATCCATGCATGCTAGTGTCCTGGAGGAACAGCCATTCGAGGCTATCCGGAGCGAGTGCGTGCTTGAGGAACGAAATGAGGGTGGATGTGACGTGGTCGGTATGGATTCTTTTTAGACTGAGAGGGTACTCCGATGTCTTTGATAAGGCTTCCGAAGAAGGCATGCGGCGGAGACGAGGTTGGCTTCCACGCTTTTTGGTGGATTGCATGGGTATTGAAACGACCAATGTCTTTCGAGGCGGGAATTTTTCCTGGAGGCAAGACCACAAATTCTCGGTGCCTCCACAATTCAGTAAAGTCAAACTCGTAAGTATTGTCCAGTCTAGCGTTTCATACAATGTGATCACATGCAGAGTAACTTTTTCGATTTCAAGGGTCTCGAGTTGCAGTCTCTGTATAGGCTTCAGACCATTGTGGGAAGTCGTGGAGCCCGCTGTAGCGGTTTCCTGCAGTCCTCCTTGAATGAGCGACCTTTGATCGCTTGTTGACTTTTCTGTCACCTCAAGCCGCTCCACCGGATCTTGTGACATCCCGACCGGGCTCCTCTCTGGTACTGATTGTGGTCCTGGCATCTCTCGGCCTTCATGGGATGCAGCTCCCTCTAATAACGCCGGGTCAATAGCATCCAAGTTCATCCTAGGTACTTTGGACTCTGGCCGACCAGAAATTGGTTCATGATTCATGTCATTAGACGTAACTTCTGCTCCATTCATGGGTGGACCTAAAATGAAGGCAATGGACGTCGGAGGTGGAGATTTTGTGTCTTCGTTCGTTGCATCATCTGGACATTTTATCAACTGTCCGCTTTCAGTATCATATTCGGGCCGCAGTGTCATCCTGTCGAGATCTCCTAAGTAGTCGTATATCTTGCTCATCAGTAATGGTAGTGGACCACCTGTAGCTACATATCTCAAGGGTGGTTGTTCGCGATCGTTGTATGAACTGTAGAGAATTGGACCAAAGCCGATGCGCAATTCCCGCAATTTGCCCAATGAACGCCGCAGAAGTACGCTCAATTCCTCTATATACGCTATCTCGTCAATATCAAGGACCGTTAGCGAACGTAGGGGAGGCATGATGGAGAAATTAGGCTCCTCCCTATGATTTTTTGCTAACACCAACCTTGGGACACCTCCCAAATCGAAATTTTGATATGGCGTTCCCTGTGCGGGTGCTAACGCAGGTGCCTGGCTAGGTGCGTCTTGAGCAGGTTGTGAAGCAGTATTCGTTTGAGTGACTTCAGCTTCTGACAGAGCCGCTCTGTTGTCGTGCATGCGCACCCAAAGCTTCTCTAATTTAGGTGACTGATAGTCGCCTAGAGATGACAGAGCTATCCATATATCTCTCAAAATTCCGGTAGGCGTATCCCACACCTAGATCACGATTTCGCCGTCAGTATTGCCTAATTGAGGAGGTATATCGAGCCTTGGAACATTTTTCGAGAGTAAAGACTCCCGAGACATGTCTCAAGACTCAAGATTTGCTCCAAAAGAGAAGCTGCGGGCTCCGAGAATACGTACGAAGGACTCCTGGTTGTCATATTGTGTTAGCGGAGACACCGCTGAATGTCGAAGTTTGGGAACTTCCTACCAAGTTTGGCATTCGAGCAACGCTCAATGCGACCAGCGTTCCTAGCAATTTCCCACTTTCTTTTGTCACAAGATAGTCCGCGACCCAATCGGCGGGGCCATTCCCAAGAGAGAATTTCTTAGTGAATTGGGAAAAGTAGTTGCCTCGTCGTAATCTTCGGTGCTTGACGGGAATGTTTGACGTTTGGTTCAAGAGGTTCACAGCGCCGCACTGTGTGCATGTGTATCTCTGGCAGGATGCTCCACAAGTAGGACTATTGGAAAGCATGTCATGTTCGAACAAGTCTTCTCTCATCACAAGCGTGGCGAGGCCGTACGTCAATGCATCGACGCCTATACGGGGCTCGATAGAATTGTGGGTCTCTGGCCATACTATATCGAATCTGCTATAGATGAGAGGGATAGCGACAGAATGTAGGGCAGAGTTCGAGGCGGCAAGACTACACAAATCGCTCGTGTGTGTCACCTTGAGGTGCTGTTAGCACATAGTCTCTTAGGTATCCCCTATGCATATACTAACCTCCTTCAAGATATCCTTCAGTATGTCTAAGGGCAAGTCGAGAAGGTTTAGAGGACCTTCCCTCCTGACATTCGCCGCCGACTCTGTTTCTTTGCCCTTATGAGACCTGAAAACCTTGTCTTCTTGCGTTATCACATCATCTTCTTGCGTCACATAGCTTCCCTCGTTCTCCATTGGGGGACTACTGACCCCTTGACCCATCTCGCCCTGTGTAGAGGAGACGCTACCTAGATATGGGCTTATTCGGTTTTGCAGAGCATCATGGTCCTTGAAGAGAGGCGGTAACGACTTGCAAGGTCTCAAAAGCGATTCCTCAGACTCCATACTTGGCTCTCAACACCCGAAATAATTGATGTATTGTTGATTTTCTTCAAGGTGTGTTGATTTCAAGCGAGACCTCTCACAAGACTGCACTGTGTATTGTCTTGAACGAAGATTTTGCTAGATGAGGATATCTTGAAGACTTTTTCAGGGAAGAGCTCGTGCCATCATCTATGGTGCCTTCGAGTCCCGACCAGTAGCCGCAAGCAGAGGTCTCGAGAAGGTCGACTTGTTGAGGGGACGAGGTTGCCCGTTAACTTGGAAATCGCTTGGTGGGATTCTTTCGCAGCCTTCCTTAGTAGTAAAAGTTCAGTTCTTTCTCACCCACAAATGCCATGGCAAGGACCAACTTGTGTGTAGAAATGCAATGGCTTTTGAACTGGAGGTGTGTAGATGTTTCCGGGGAGGAAGTTATGTCGCAATTGGAAAAAGAGACAGGTCGAATCGACAACAGGCTATATTCGGTCCAACTCAAGCTTGACCCAGCAACGATTATAGCTGCAGCGCCCGGAGCTAATGTAGTCCCCACTGGAAGCCGAGACCGTGCTTCCGCTCTCTAGGCTGCTTTTAGGGCAGATTGTGGGGACCAATGACAGTGTTGAGGCGTCTTTTCGGCTTCCTCATGATGCATCATCAATGAGTGGCTTCACTCCTACCGCTACCAATACTTTTTCTAACAATGCCGTATTTTCAAAGTCATAAAGGCTTCGACAAATAATCATGACAGATTGGATGATACATTTCAAATATTGTACGCAAGTCACAGACATACGTCCAAAAGCCCATTTCCACCCATACTCAAACCCCTCCCAAGTCTCACATCACAACGCAGCCTCCCTCTGCCAGCAACATCGTACTTGGTTCCTTCTTCGGCCCATACTTCCGCGTCTTCTTCCCGAGATTAATCCCACAGTCCGACTTCTAATTGCTTTCTGAGTTAGAATATCACTTTTGGAACAATATGTGAATCGCTAAACAGGTCCCAAAAGGCATTATTGCTACGACAAGCCTCGCAGCTCAAAATGCAGTACAAAACGGGAAGAGTTGGCTCGGAGATGATGACTCACGTTCGGTCCAAAGCCGAACTTTGTGGCATGTACCGTCGCTTTGACCATCCTAATCTTCTTCCCATCATAGTCGTCGTTCTTGTCGCACTTGGGACAAGTCTTCTCCTTGGCTAACTCTTGTGCATACTTTGCTGCATTCCGAGCTATGCCAGTCGTGAAGGATGAGCAGTTGGAGAAATCGCGACCTTCTTTGCAAGGCTCTTTGATCTCGCACGACCAGTGTCCGCAATCCGAGTGTTTTGATAACTTGGTGATGCACATTGTTGATATCGAAGGGAGATCCGTCTGTCGTAGAGCGCAGGGTTGGTACCGGAGGGCACTGGAGTGCGTGCGTAGAGAGTTGTTTTGAATGTTTTTGGGGCTGGCCTCACACTTTGATGATGCTGGGAGGCTTTTGATAATTCGGATATTCTTGTCTAAAAGCCAATTCACACGTTGCTGGCGAGATTGTGTGTGCTCGCAAAGGTTGGAAGGTTGAGTCGGTAAAGTAGAGATTCAGCTTCTCCATGACGCAGGGGGGTGTCTGTCAATGTTCCAGAGACGCATCCGAAACCATCGCCTCTCGACATGAGTGGCTGTAGTGGAACAACACCCAACGAGTCACCAGGCTTCATGAAACGTAGCTTGGCGCATAGGCCTCATGATCCATTACCGCCATCCTCATGTGCTTGCTTCTGTATGGCCTGCATGAGTTCATAGAGCTGCCCAAGCTGCTGGTCTGCACGTACCCGCGTTAGCTAAACCCTCAATGCTTAGAATAGAAGTGTTATACCACTCATCTTGTCGATCTTGCCTTTGTCTATCTTCTCCCCCTTCCAAGAGCCGCCTTCGATATTTTGGGCGTACATCTGCCATTCGGTCAAGAATCCAATCTGTCGGTGTTATTAGCCCCCAGGAGGGGTTCTCGGAGTTGCCAATAATAACACGAAGCGGAGCTTACAATATGCATGGGATTTTCGACATTGCGGTGAGATCGATATTCGCTCTTGATGTACTCGTCTCCGAGCAGACGCATCTGCGGGTCCAAGTATTTCCGGTGTGCTCGCAGCAGCCGTCTGTACAGTGGGATCGGCGGCAGCAAAGCCAATGGAGCTGGCTTTAGTCCATTGGTTGAGCCAACAGCTGTAGGCTTCGCAAGTAGTCGTATCGATACTCTCATGGCTGGTATTTGTGTTATTTCGGAAGTTCGCAGAATTGCTGGAAATCCAGGGTGTCGATTTCGGAGTTGACATCACCCCGCAGATCATTCCTCCCACCTTCTTAAGTCTCAACCTCTCAATCCAATCCTTGTTCAGGTAATGCTGCCTACGCCGTCAACATCTCACGTAAACACAGACCGCATATATGAGCCAGCAGAAGACTCTTTCCTTCTGTTGGATACGCTCTCCTCAGAAGCAGAGACGCGATTTCTCACGCAGCGATTTGCCGGTCATCAACCGACAGGACATTATGATGATTCACATCCCTCACCGCTAGTCCTCGAAGTCGGTTCAGGCTCTGGCGTAGTCCTCGCCTTCGTTACTGCTCACGCCCACGCAATATTCGGCCGTGCTGATGTCATTGCCCTAGGCACTGACGTGAACACCTTTGCCTGCGAGGCTACCAAGCAGACAGTGACGCAAGCGTGTCAGGCGACCAAGGAAGAAGATGTCGATGGCGCGGGCTTTTTGCTCGCAACATTGAGCGCAGACTTGGCCAGTCCGATACGAGACGGAATAACCGATTTGCTAATCTTCAACCCGCCATACGTGCCCTCCCCCGCCGTGCCCGAGCTTAAATATCTCAAACCGGGCACAGGGATCACTGATACCGAATGCACTTCACGGACATTTGAGGAGGACTCGCACCTGCTACAATTGTCGTATGATGGAGGTGTGGATGGCATTGAGGTCACTAATAGGCTTCTGGAGCGGCTTCCCGATTTGTTGAACCTTGCGAGAGGCACAGCTTACATATTACTCTGCGCACAAAATAAACCCGGAGAGATTATGCAACGTGTAAGGGGGTGGGGCGACGCATGGTCGGTTGCTGCTGTGGGTCATTCAGGGAAGAGAGCTGGGTGGGAGAAGCTCCAGATCATCAGAATCTGGCGTGGCTAGGGGGTATCCAACAAATTCATAGACGTAAGCTGATTAATGAGGTACTGGTCCAACAATGGAACGCGCATTGATCAACTCCTTGTGAAGAATGTCCAGTCGAGATTGTCCGAGTCAATCATAATGAGTCTGTTACCAAGTAAATACTAGGCTCCGTAGCCTCAGGCATTTTTCATGCCTGCCGTCTCTATCAGGAGATATTCAAATTACTTTTGGGAGAGTCAAATTCCATGCCCTCTGACAGCCCCGTGCGACTGCTCGGACCCACATCCCTGCCTTCTCTCTTCGTCTGCATCCTATTCCTAGAAACCTCTCCCACCACCCCTTCCCCTCCCACCCCTGAACCCACCACCACCACCACCACCTCTGCCTCTGCCCCTCGGTCCCCCCCTCCCTCCACGCCCACCCCTATCAGCGACCTCCTTCCTAGCCTTATTCTTTGGCTTCGGCGCATCATCGATCAACAGCGTATCCAACGGCAGCGAGTCAGGCAGGATGTAATATCTGATTGTTGAACCACGGATATTGATGGTGTCGAGAGAAATCGGGTCGCGGCCTTTGGGTGTCATTTTGACGGCGCGGAGAGCGGTGTTCATCTGGGGGGAGACGGAGGTGATGGTGCCGTGGAGGATGGTGCCTGTAAAGAAGCGTTAGCAGTAGCTGAAGTCAGAATGCGATCGGCTCGAGAGGATGGTACCATTCTTGAGCTCAATCGTGACAGTTTCATTAGCACATTTCATCAGGAATCTAGCAGGTGGTCAGCGCTGCTGCGAAAAGACGAGCCTTGAAGTTGGAGCTCAGCTTGGAAATCTATGTCTGCAGAAGAGCAGGGTATGAGGCTTACCTGACGAGCTTCATCGTGCCTTGCTAGTCTTCTGGTAGGGCCTTCAAGGCTTTGCGTGGGTGGAAAACTGCCAGTGTCGGTGTCGGAAATGTTGTATTGTCGCTAGCGATGAGTGTCTAAGCACTGGCATTCAATTTTGGGCGGTTGATTTTGGCTTGGCGGCGCTAAACTTAGTTGGGACGCATATCAAGACCTCCTGGATTTTGGCACTTGATCTCGGAATTGCCATGACTCTTGGATATAAGGATGACTTGAGGGATGTTGAGAGCCTTCAGTCTTACATAGAAGTGTTTCAAGCTACACTGTGTAACTGTCAATGCCAAAGTAGTTCCCGGAAAAGCTGCTTGGCGCACAGTGATGTCCACCACCATATGCCATGTGACGCGTCTTTCAAAATTCTAGAACGCATTCAAACCATGCTGTAAGAAACCACGAGGGTTCTTCGTGCCCCCCTACCTATCCACTTCCTCTGCCTCCGAAACCTTGTCCCAGTCAGAATCCGTACTCAGATCTCCAGACGAGGCCTCCCCTGAACTCATTCGCTTGCGCAGAACACCTTGTGCATCCTCCGGTCTCAAGAGTCTTTCTGTCTTCCTCTCTGACATGCTGCCCGAGACTCCCCCCTCGCTCTGAGTACCCCCACCTTCCGTCTCGGTCCCACTATCCTCCACTCCCATCCCCTCCTGCCCCTGCCCTCTTTTCATCTCCCTCGATTGCTTCATGTCTCTCTCTTGTTTGTTTGCAGCTTCTAGCTCTGTAACGAACCAGTTGATTGCCCACCACAGTCCGGCGCATAGAAACGAGAGGACAACGAAGTGGACGCTGTATGTGAGGATGAGGAGGACGAGGAGCACGACTTGGAGGGCCGCGAAGGAGGCGTTGGTTGCAATTATTATGGATGGGGTTGGGCCAGGTGTGAAGATGGAGGAGATGAGGTCGGTGAAGAAGGTTGCCATGATGGAGACGGGAAGGAGCAGTTCCGATCCTGTCGAGGAGGTCTTAGATTTTTAAGGACAGCGTCACGGAGGATCGTCACGGAGGATCAGCACGCTGATTCGTAGTACATTCAAATTCTCGACGAGATCCTTCGCGATCTGCTTTGGATGGTAGAGAGTGAGTGCGTCTCGACTTCTAATCTATGAGTATTTCCGTGAGATATCGGGAAGCTGCTTGATTGAAGGACCGAATGGTGAGCAATGGACTGATCTATATTGACAATAGGTGGAAAGAGATGTACTTTGACACGTGTATATGCGAGAAGTTGTGGCCTGGAGACGTGTTGATTCGTGACCTAACGGTCACGTTGCCAAGCGCCAATCGATAAGGCAAGAGCTAAGGTAAGGTACTTTTACCTTACTCTACCCACTCAGCCCTACGCAGTATATAACGAAACTGATCCAATCCGTGCCAAAATCTTCCGCTTACGTCCAGCTTTGAATGCTCCCAAGACATGTTGATATCAGTTGTCAGAGTACATGATGCTGTGGAGTAGCTGGACCAAAGGTCACTCCGTTTCTCGGGATCATATTACTAGATCACTATGCTGCTACAGACTCTAAGAAGTGGGGAAACAGCATACTTTAGCGAAGGCGCGTGACTAACTCGTGTTTTCAAATTTGTACAACGCTTCCATATCGTCCTTGATATTCCAGCACGGTCATCTTGAACTTGTTCTTCATCGTTCTGCTTCATTTGCAAAAATGTCTTCAGCTATGGCCATGAAAAATAACACACAGGAAGGGGACATACCCACACAGAACACTGGCGACATCTTCATACATCATTCTGAGGCGGTGTGGGAACATCGAGATACTTATGGACCTCCAGGATTCAAAGGTGTCTTCACTAATTATTATGCGGCGCTCTGCGCAGCGTTCGCTGCAATTGGGGGCATGATCTTCGGATATGATCAAGGTGTTGTTTCTATCGTACTTGTTATGCCCCAATTCCTGGCGCACTTCACCAGGGTATCGGATACTGCGAGTGGCGCAGGGTTCTGGAAGGGTCTGTTGACAGCGATGATAGGTAATCCTGTGAATATCGATTTGGATAGAGGTAACAATAAACTGACATCCTGATAGAGTTGGGTGCGCTGATTGGAGCCATAAATCAAGGCGTGAGTTTGCTTTTGTAGTTTTTTCTTCCTATTCCGTAGCACAATCTGAGTCGTAAGCCAAGGTTCGGGTTTGATTTATTCCTGAACATATTTTATGCCTCAAGTCTCATTCCAGAGGAGCATGCTGACACCGCGGGCTTCAAGTGGGTTGCCGACAAGATCTCTAGGAAGTATTCAATTGTCGTCGCCGTAACGATTTTTACTATAGGTTCGGTCCTACAAACAGCGTCGATCAGCTATGCGATGCTGGTTACTGCCAGACTTATTGGTGGCATCGGCATTGGTATGTTGAGCATGGTTGCACCCTTGTACATCTCCGAAATCTCGCCGCCGGAGATTCGAGGCTCCTTACTAGTCCTCGAGGAGTTGAGTATCGTCACGGGAATTGTTGTGGCGTTCTGGATCACATATGGCACAAGATACATCGCCGGAGAATGGGCCTGGCGACTACCATTCTTGCTGCAACTCGTTCCCGGTCTTGTGCTTGGATTAGGAATCTTGTTCCTTCCATTCTCGTGAGTCTTCTAAATGAATCTATAAGCGCTGTCCGTAAGAGAAGTCGCTGACCGTGCGTACTCACAGGCCCCGTTGGCTTGCGTCAAAGGGCAGGGATGTAGAAGCATTGCAGGCTCTGGCCAAATTGAGGCAATTGCCGACGACCGATACCCGAATCCAGCAAGAATGGTTTGACATCCGGGCTGAGGTAGCCTTCCACAAGGAAAATAGCGCTTTGAGGCACCCGGCGCTCCAGGACCGTAGCGTGATGAGCCGCATAAAGCTCGAGATCGTCTCTTGGACCGATTGCTTCAAGCGAGGTTGCTGGCGGAGGACGCATATTGGAGTAGGCCTGATGTTTTTTCAGCAATTCGTTGGCATCAACGCACTGATCTACTACTCACCTACCTTGTTCAAGACCATGGGTTTGGACTATAGCCTCCAACTCATCATGTCCGGCGTCCTAAATGTCACTCAGCTCGTGGGGGTAATCACTAGTCTTTGGACAATGGACAGGTTTGGACGACGGCCCCTATTGCTCTGGGGCAGCTTTTTCATGACGCTGTCGCATTTGATCATCGCCGTTCTCGTGGGTAAGTTCTCCAGTGACTGGCCAGGCCACCGTGCAGCCGGCTGGGTTAGTGTTGCATTTCTGTTGTTTTACATGCTGAGCTTCGGAGCTTCATGGGGACCAGTACGTATTTTCCGTGGTAATTTCTGCTTATTTGAACCTAGGTCTAGTCTCGAGACAGATCTGGGGAACAGAATGTACCTTTCACGCCCCAGACCTGTCTTACTGCTCAGCTTCTTGACTTTGGTTCCTGAATAAGCAATGCTGACTCCGAAATCTGCGCAGGTGCCCTGGGCAATGCCATCCGAGATATTTCCCTCCTCTCTTAGAGCAAAGGGAGTGGCATTAGCGACGTGCTCGAACTGGCTAAACAACTTCATCATCGGTCTCATCACCCCACCTCTCGTGATCAACGCTGGATTTGGGGCTTATACTTTCTTCGCCGTTTTCTGCTTGCTATCACTGATTTGGACGTTCTATTTTGTCCCTGAGACGAGCGGCAGAACACTAGAAGCCATGGACCAGTACGTGTTTTCTGAGTCCATACCTTCTTTGCTGAAGCAAACCCTGAATCTTGAGACAAGTCTTGAGGTTGTTTACTCTTCAAAACAAGTCCCAAGACTCGACATGACCCCTTCTAAAGGCAATACTGACTGCGAGACTCAATTCAGCGTCTTCAAGGACATAATCAGCGAGCAGGAGGAAGCACGAAGAAACGCTATAGAGAGCGAAATTATCGGCAGTGCGGATTCGATGACCCGGTAAGAGGGCGAAGCGTCATGAAACAAGTTTCATGACGTCGAAGCAGGGATCGAATTGCCATCGTAAGTTCCTGGACTGAAATAAACCACAGCGCTATCAATGCTGATGTAACTGTGGGCTGTTGAAAGAGTATCACATTGCCGGAGTGTTAAGGTTTCGATGCGAAGCTCGGAATTTGGCATCTACCTGCCCGGCGACCGAGGCGCTGCAACTACACGCCGAAGGGGACTCATACGCTCCCCACGATTCCAGGCGGTCGACGGGTTGCATACTAGAATCTGGAGTGGAAAAAAGCTTTTGCGGTTCTTGAAGGATTGTTCATTAATCTCGAACTCATGTTCATAAGCTTGTATGCTCTAGAATCGGATGATGCGGTATGCCAGCCAATCGGATAGAAGACGGCGGATGAGAATGACAAATTGAAGCGGTCAGCAATCCTACGTTAACTCAAAGGGGCAGCACATTCAGGCCATCAGCCTCTGCTACTAGGATGATCTGCATAGCCGAGATGCAGTGTGCTTCAGCCCTGGCGAACGAAGGAAGGAAGAAATAGGGCTGGACATGTGGCATTCATGATCCCTGGCATACACGAGTCAAGATTGGGGGCTATGAGATAGGACACGAATGTTTCGCATTGGCGAGCATTGATCAACCTCCATTCTCCACGTTTCCATGCTATCTATCGTTGGGGAATGGGGACAAGCCGTCAGTGGACACGGCACGGTAACTGCATTTCAGCTTCAATGTCACCATTAAGAGGACAAAGTCTAATCATCGAGTAGAGCATGAGCAATATCTCGGCGACCCCGACTAGACCTCCAAGATGATAGAATATGGGAGGAGAAGAAGAAGCAGCAGCAGAAGCAGCAGAAGAAGCAGAAGTAGTTGGGAGTAGAAGAATGAAGCGAACCTCAGTACTTTTACTTTGCTTTAGTTGAATGACGAGATTTCATTGTTGTGCATATGTTGAGGAGTCAAGAGTCAGGAAGGGTAGGGTTTAAGGGAACCGCAACCTTCGATGCGGGGGGCTTGTCCGGGAAGTTGTTTGGCCCGTTGGTGTGAATTTACTTTGCCAGAGCTCTGTAGACAGAGCTACCTGGTCTCTACAACAAACGATTAACCGCCCAATTATCTACCAAGAATCGAGACTACTTCCAATGAAGTAATGATCCCCTTGTTGATGTGATTCCCCTCGCTGTATGACACCCAGGAATGGATTGAAGCATAAGATGGTACCTACCCAGGTAAAAAAGAAAAAAGAAAAGAGGAAGAATAAAAGGTAGAAGGAATTCAGCGAGAGGGGCACCATGGAAGGAGGGGGGGGGCTTTCGCGTTCTTTTTAGCTGCGCGCAAGTGTTACCGTTTTACCTGTCGACTAAGCCTAGTCTGAGCCTCCCCACTACCACCTTTCGCCTCTTCACCGCCTGGCAGCGGACGGAACGATTTCATCATTCTCTTTGCGACACTTCTCGTTGTCATCAAATAATGAATAATGATCGGCCCTTCAACTCTGACAATGTGACTAGACTCTGCAGATCATACCACTATCCCAGGGCAGGATAAGCAACACATGCAAGCTGCCTCCTTTATGCCTCGGCTGCCTGTTGTCGCCCAATAATAGCAATGGGCCCAAAATGCCTAGAATGCCCAGCATGCCCCCAATCATGCCAAGCAAAGAATCATGCTAATCACAAAACAGCTTCGTCCCACTTTCCTTCTTCCCATGTCCAGCTTCTGAATTAATTAATCGATCGAGGTAGGCTTCCTGGAGATGCCGAACAGACTATCTTCTAGCTTTTCAGCTCTGTCTCTGACCTGGAAAACTACGTCGCAATCTCCCATCCGGCGACCCATTGGCAGACGAGGAATAAGCGCCCCCGTGCCTCCAAGAAGCATCAAGAGGCATCAAGAGAGGCATACCAAGCAAGCCATTCACGCCTTTGAAAGGATTCGAGGCTGGTCATGCCCTTCCCCTGAACCGTTCATTCCAGTTTCCATGCCGTTCCTCTGCGTTCCAAGTGCCCCCAAGGACACGCTTTCTTGACCGCCCATGAAACAAGTGCGCCTCTATTCCGACGTGGTCTAGCCAGAAGAATGCTACTCCAAAATGTCAGCTCGGGGCAACCGTTACTGCCTAGCATCATGTGCTTATATTCGACCGACTGTCATCAGTACTAAACCTCCGTAGGGCTGTGACTTTTTGAAACGAAGGATCCCAACTGCACGGCTGCGGGAGAATCCAACCCACCCCTGCGCCACATGCTCTCGGTTTCGAGTAGCTCATCTCCAATGTTGATTGCGCATCTTCCATCTAGATCCGTGACAACCCCAAGCGTTTAATGGCTTGCGATTCGCTAAGGCAACGGCTTGACCCACCCAAAGCCAGGAGTTCCCAAACGACGCAATAAGCTGTCATCACGGGGTTCATGGAGATAATTAATCAAGTAAGTGCGGTGCGGTGAATGTCAGAAGTCTCTTTCATACTTAGGGTCCTTCTCTTCCTCCTTCCTCCTTCCAGGCACCTTCTTTCCTAAAATCTTTTCCCCTGCTCAGCCTTTCGTTTGAAACACTGGATTTTCAATCTTTTTTTTCTTTCGGTGACTGCATTCAAGATAAGTCGTCAAATACTGGCCCTAACCTGTTGGTTGCACCGTACCCGAATCAGGATTCAGCGGCGTGGGCAACCCCGTCAAAGTTCACAGGGGTCTCCATCCTCCAGAATCCATCAAACATCTGGCACTGGCCACTCACCATACACCAGGCTTAGCGATCCTGCGATTTATATTCAGAGCCATTGCCTCGTTGGGATCTAGCAACAACTACTCTCCAAGATCGTTGCACGATCCATCTAAAGACTTCACACCACGTACGTTTATTTTTGAAATCAGATATATACTTCACAATTGTTCTTGTTCTAGCGAGCTGGATGTAAAACCACATCCACATTGAAAGATCCTGTTTGTTTCTCCATTTCATTACATCCATAACGTTCAAAATGTCTCGTTCTCATCGCCGTCCTTCAGACTACTCACGTGGAAGCAGTCCCCGTATTGACCGAAACCTTGCCGTTACCGAAGCCAGCTTCCAAAACCTTGGGCTGAACGAGACCGCTGGAGCTCAATATCAGTCCGGCCCTTCTTCGTATCTTTTGCCCGACCAGCGAAGTCGACGACCGTCGTATCCCCGAAGCGAACTCAGTTCAGGTTACCTCCAGCCCGATTACGTATCCAGCAGCTATACCCGAGCTGCATCACCGGCTTCCTTCTCGGCTCTAGAGAACTCCACCTCGTTCGGAACAACTTTGCTAGATCCTTCAGATTACCAGCTTTTCTCCGACACTGGAACCTTTAGCACTCGTGCAAGCCCATTCTCAACAAGCGTACTTGGCCGGACGGACATGGGGTAAATTGAGAGTCTATCATCTCATGAGATCAACTCTAACAGCTTCCAGTAGTTACCCGTATCCATCAGACACAATGACAAGCTACCGCGACACGAGCTCTTATGGCCCATCAAGGTCACCTTCTCAGCGAGGTAAGTCACTGATCATTTGATCGAAAGCATTCCATTTCATGGGTTAAAACATTCAGGCTATACCAACCCGAGCACGGAAGCTTCTTTATCACGCAGTATGTCTGGTCCCTCCGGTCCTAGCATACTGCCAAGCTCGGCCTATGGTGGATTTAGAGGTTTAGAGCGTGAGGTTGCTCGGCAGCGGCAGCGAAAGCTCCATGAGTCTCGCCGTCAGTCGAAGCTCCTTTTACGGAGGACTATGCTGCCGAGCACCCCATACGCTAGGCCGGGCGAGGCAGATACTGAGAGCGGTTCGATTGACTATCTTTTAGCTCATTCCGGATCATCATACGATAGCCACAGCGCTTACGGTCGAACCCCTTCGACTTCCTCAGCTCAAGGGTCTTACTTGACAGGCGTCTCATCGTGGGTGCAAACATTCTTTGCTGACAAACCTCCCACTGCTGACTCTCGCCGTGCAGTTCCCCTTACGATAATCCTTACACAACAGCATACGGTACAAGCGGCGTTGGCTCGCACACGATGTACTCTTCGTAAGTCGAGTTATGACACAGAACTATTTCGAACCTACGCTAACCTCCACAGAAGCTCTCAAAACCCAAGTCTTTCTACCACGTCCAGTGCCATATATGGCTACCGCGGCGATAGGCGAGGCTCTGGTGTACCATCGAATATGGAGCCAGTCGTGATTGAGACTCCAAAGAAACCTCAATGCTGGGATCACGGCTGCAATGGCCGTCAATTCTCTACGTTTAGCAATCTCCTTAGGCACCAACGGGAGAAGTCCGGCACGTCATCAAAGTCCGTCTGTCCTCGCTGCGGTGCAGAATTCACGAGGAAGACAGCCAGAGACGGGCATTTGGCGCACGACAAGTGCAAGGCAAGATCCTCGTCGGATCGTTGAGTCGACTCTCACGCGACTTCGATTTGCCTCTTTCCATTATTTTTTGCAGGTACTTTGAGCGAAATTACGGCATAGCAATGGGTCTGGGACTTTACAGCGTTGATCACTGGTTACGACATTTCATACTGGGGTACCTTGGATAGGTCCCTTACGGCATTAAGATGAAACATTGGGACGGGCATTTACAGCGGGGTTCAGCATACATTTGGCGTTGGGAACATAGAAATGGGACCGGAGTTTTTTGTTTTGTTGTTTCCAGCTATCAGATATTCAGTATGAAACTTTGCGCTGGAAAGCATATGTTGTTTCGAGTCTTCGCCATTGCCAACATCGAGGCTTTGGCCTGCGCCTTGACATATATTTGCGCCAAGCCCTGCCTCCGCCCCCAAAGCCGGTGATGCTCTACAACGTCGAAGATGCAACTGCATGCCATTTGAGACACCAGTTGCTGAAACACAGAGGCAAAATGTTGCGAGATGTTGTAGGCTGGAGCCTTCGCCTCCTCGAAGGCAGTGTAAACTCAAGTACTTGTAAAATATCTAAGGTGTGGTCGAGTTGGCGACGTGGGATTTCGGATCCATCGAGCAAGCGCGGCAAACGCGATTACTAGTCACACTGTAACTCCTGCCTCAGGCCCTGACTCCAACAAAACACTTGTTGGATCATCGTACATACGTCCTACTCACATCTACCGCTTATCCTAGGATCCGCACACTCGCCCCAAACGGCAATCACAGACTAGCCTCCAGATCACATCGCAGGATCTTGCCAAGATGTCCCTGAAGGACCCCTCTTCTTGAGGCTTCCAGTCTACTCTGGCAGCTTCAACCACAGCAAAGCCTGCAAACCTATCTATAAGAAACACTTGAGGCCGTCAAGATGCTTCCTCCGTTGTCGCAGCTGTTCCGCATCCACCATTCTCACACGAACACTAGGTCTTTACGAACGCTACACCATAGAGCAATACAGCGGCATAGGGTGGGCATATAGAGTCCAATTGGAAAGAACAATATTTCACGCAAAGGTGTCTCCTCGGCACAAGAAATAGAGGCTAGGTGGAAAGATATGGCTTCAATCTTCACCTTCGAACCTGAGCCACCCAGGGTATCTTCGCCGTGGCCAGGAGCAAGAGCCGAAGGGCCAAATGCCAACTCTGGAGATGGGCACTTATTGCTGGCAGGCATGAAAATGCCGTCAGAAATACCTTTGGCCGATTTTGGGATCAAAAAGTTGGAGGCGGAGCCACAAGAGGGTCCTACAGAATACAAGCTGCACCTGTTGCTTCGACCGCGAAGAAGCTTTTCTTCTACGTCGACTGTCCAGCATGTATCTGGTTCATACTTGTCCAAGTCTCGCGCATCGCAGCCAATTGTGGAGGCGGAAATGAAGCCAATGCCTACACCGGCCTTGGCGCCTAGCAGCCAGTCAAGACAACATAGGCTGCAACACCTAACTACGCAATTGCTATGGCGTCTTCAACAGTCTTCTCCTTATCATTCTTCTTCGAAGTCAAGTCTTGTGCTGCCGATTCTGCCAGAAGCCGACGTCGAACTCTCTTCCTCGAAAGGGCCTGGGAGGCTGATCCCAGGACTCGAAGAGAGCAGTGGCGCTCTGTATGAGATTGGTGTTAGCGATGATGGAACATTCGTGGGCCTCACCAGAGACGAGCTAGAGGAGAGCTTGACTGTTCTTCGTGCAATGGCTTTCAGTTTGGGTTGCGATGTTCAAATACTTCGTGTGATTGTTGTAGGTGACTGCCAATGGACCGAAGAAGCCCAGCCAAAAAATGTATCAGAGATCAGGCAGAGGAAGGAAAAGCTCTTGGTTGCAGAAGTGCTAGTAGCTCCCCACTTAGGCCCTTCGAAGCCATCAATCGATCTGGCAGCCCAACAGCGGGATAAGTTGGCTTCCACAGCTGCTGAAATTGATGCTACTGATCACAAAACAGGCGAGATTGAATCGCAGAGTGAGCAGCTTCGCGTATCTCTGACGGGAAGTACTACCTCGGGAAAGTCATCTTTACTTGGTACTCTATCGACTTCTACGCTGGACAATGGCCGCGGAAAAAGCAGGCTCAGTCTATTAAAGCATCGACACGAGATAGTCTCTGGTGTAACCAGCTCTCTGGCGCAGGAGCTAATTGGATACCAGGAAGTGGCAACGGTAAAAAAGGCAATTGCTTCCAATACCAATGTCATCAATTATGCTTCTGGCAATGTCTCTTCTTGGAACGATATACACGCTGCTTCTGAAGAGGGCCGTCTAGTCTTCGTGACTGACTCAGCTGGACATCCACGGTACAGGCGTACCACGGTCCGTGGCCTCGTATCCTGGGCGCCCCACTGGACTCTGTGCTGCGTGGCTGCAGACGACGGAGAGGACAGCACTGGCAGGGTAGGCGCAACCGCATCTTCGAGTGAGATTCTCGGCTCTGCGGGTGTCGGTGTTGATCTGTCCAAAGCCCATCTCGAGTTATGCCTCAAGCTCAACTTGCCGTTGGTCATTGTCATTACAAAGCTGGACATCGCGTCCAAAGCTGGCTTGCGAAATACTCTTACCAAGATCTTGACCACCTTGAAGGCTGCTGGTCGTAAGCCTGCCATATTGTCTTCGTCTTCGGATCAGAGTGGCGAGCTTCAGCTTCAATCAGTCGCCAAAGACGAGGAGGATGCGGCAAAACGAACAATTGCTTCGACACCTCCTGCCGAATGTCATCTGTTAGTGCCAATTGTACTTACTAGTGCTGTGACTGGGAGCGGCATTGGCCGACTCCATGCCCTTCTACACCAGCTCCCAGCAAATCCGGGTGCGATGGCCAAGCACGCAAATTTCGCTGGTCAAGATAGTGCAAAACCGCAGAGCTTGTTCCATGTGGATGAGGTTTTTACCATGCCCGCACATCCTCACTCTGCGAACGCGGAAAGGTCTGCACCAGGCTTCGTGCTGAGTGGCTATCTACGCTACGGGGTGCTAGAAGTGGGTGATACAATGCTTATTGGGCCGTGCAACCCAGGCATCGCTGCAGAATTGGCCGAGAGTCCTGACATTCACAGAGCTAGATCTTATCCTGGCCTGGTCAAAGGATCACCACGAGTGGTCGCAATGTCTCATGACCGGCAAAGACCCTCTTCTGGTGACTTTACCGGCATAACGGGTGATGCTGACATATCCATCACGGATCTTCAGATTTGGCAAGAGATACGCGTTACCGGTCTCCGCAATCTGCGGCTACCTGTGCAGAGATTATCAGCTGGCCAAGTGGGTACTGTTGCCATCACTTTCCAAGAAGGACTACATTCCAAGAGCAATAGCTCCTCTCCAATCGCAAATCCGCCGTTGAGAAGAGGTATGGTTATGGTCTCCGCCCCAATGAATCCTAAGAATGCACTATCTCCGGCGTACAGTCGCTTCACTGCAGTCTTCCCACAACCCAGTCTTCCCGCCTGGCCTGCAGTACTGGTCATTGTCTACATCGCGAGCATTCGGGCATCTGCGAAAATAATAGAAGTTAAGGCACTAGGAGCAACTCCTACCACTGAGGATATTTTTGATTTTGACGACAACAGCAACAACCACAGCAGCACTGCATTGTCCCAGAGCTCGGGTAATCAGCAAACCGAAATAACATTCGAATTTGTGACTTCGCAAGAGTGGATTGAGATGGGGACTCAGGTGTTGGTCACGCCTGGAGGTGGACCCAGCTTGACGAATCAGCCTGAGCAAAGAGAGCCAGGAAGTGCTGGCTTAGATGGGTATGTGGGGTTGATCACGCAGGCAATGGTTTGATCGAGGTTTGCATCGGGTCTTGTCGTTGATACCGCTTGCCTTGACTCATGTTGTATGTCAATCTTCTAGGTTCACCAAATACAATGGCTGGAACCCCTCAGAACGGTCATGAGGAAAGTGACTTGGATTAGGGTCAATCTGTGTTTGCGGCCGCCATCCTCGGAGTCTCCTATGAAAGAAGGAATCATTCCCCATGCTCCCTCGAGGATTTCGCTTCCGAATACAAGCATCTTACCCGAACTCTGGCTTATGAGCCCAAATTTCTCCCCTTTTCGAAGAATACCCCCCGTTTCCTTCAAACCCCGAATCGCATAGTCCCTTAAGTCAATACATTTCTAAAGTGTCTCGACGAGAAAGGTTCTCCTAAATCCGTCGCGCGCCTATCCTCCCATACCCTGACATAAATCTTAATATACCGCATAACCGCCCTACGTTCAAGCCATTAGCAACTCCCCCTCCCACCATTCCGCAAATAATTGTTGAAGATTACAACTCACATCAGCCAGTATCTCGGCCCCTGTCACAAATCCGCTTGCATCGCTCGCCAAAAATACCGCCAGCCCGTTCAACTCGTCCGGTCTGCCTAATCGCCCCATCGGCGTCATGGCGCTCCAATGCTTCTTCTGCCCTTCGAGCAGTGCTTCGCGATTCAGCGCCGTGTCCATGTAGCCGGGTGCGATGGTGTTGACGCGGATGGAGTGGGGTGCCCATTCCGCGGCGAGGGATTTGGCCAGTTGGGCTACGGCTGCTTTGGAGGCGCTGGGCCGGGGGGGTCCGGGATCAGTATCGCTTGTTTGCGTGGGAAGGCCGGTGGAAATCGGTTTGGAGGGAATTTCTTAAGTCAAGAAAAGATACGGAATTAAAGGGTAAAGATCGATGGAGTACTTACTTGTAAGCGCATTGTTGCTGAGGGTGCAGGACACGGGAGCCGGCGATGGACGAGAGGAAAATGATGGAGCCGCCGGCGCGGGCGGTGATCATGTGGCGGGCGCAGGCTTGGGAGACGAGGAAGGAGCCGGTGAGGTTGACGTCGAGGAGGTTGCGGAACATGGCGGCGTCGTACGTTTCGGCTTTGATGTTGGAGCTTTGTGCACCGGTGAGCGTGGAAAGCTTGGAGAGCGGGCATCGATTTCTCACTCTCCGGGACTTTTTGAATGGGCCTTACTCTACGACCCCGGCGGAGTTGATCACGATGTCCACGGAACCCAGGTCCGAGGTTATCCGGGCCACGGCGTCCGCGACCGCGTTGGCGTCCCGGACGTCGACTCTGTAGAACCGGACCGGTATGCCCGCCGTCGAGCGTAGTTCCGCGGCCGCCGCGTCCCCCAGATCCTGCTTCACGTCGATCAGGGCGATGGCTTGCGCGCCGGCTTCGGCGAGGGCTTGGGACATGTTCCAGCCTAGGCCTCTGGCACCTCTGTATGTGGATGTGGTTGGGTCAGAGATGTGGACGTACAGATAACCAGTCTCGCCTCAGACTCGTTTCTCAAACAATAAGACTTCAAAGTCACATCATCACAGTGTTCTTTTTCCAACCGTATGAAAAGATAACAACAGAATGTAGATCTAAGAAAGCATCAAGGAGAAACCGAGCACCAGAGCCAAAAGCACACGTAGCAAGCAGCCGCACCTCAACCCGATAATCCACAAGCCCGACCGACCCCAACTCACCCCGTCACAACGGCCACCTTCCCCCCGAGCGTGAACCTCGCCATCGTCGGCGTCAGCCCCGGCACGACGCCCCCGTCGAACGCCACGGCCTCGCGCCCGACTTCCCCGGCGCCGGACCTCCTCTGAGGCTCCGTGTGGCTGGCGGCCGGGACCTCTGGTTTGGGTTTCGGGGTTGGGGTGATGGGGGCGGAGAGGGCTCGGTTGAGATTTGGGGTTGGGAGGAGGGAGGGGGGGAGTCGGTGTCGGAGACGGCGTGTGAGGTTGATCATGTTTTTTTTTTTTGCTTCTTCTTCTTCTTTTTCTTCTTCTTCTTCTTCTTCTTCTTCCTCTTCTTCTTCTTCTTCTTCTTCTTCTTCTTTTTTTTTCTTTTTAGGAAAGCGGGTTGGGGAAGGGATGGGAGGGTATGGGTGGACGGTCGGAGTGATCGCGGATGGGAAGAGAGTTTGGGTTCCAAATGAGGCCGAGCAAGGCCGATGGGATTGGAGCGGCTTGCCTGGAATGAGAAAGTCCAACATCTTGGGATAGCCTGAGGGTGCATAGATAGCTCTTAGTGACGCATTTGCCAGATGTAGAGGGCAGGATCGCTGATGGTACAGTCTAAAAAGAAAGGGGGTAGGGGTGAGTGTGTCTACATGTCCTGTGGTTTTTTACGAGAATCTTTCTGTGGTGCAGTCTTTTGGTATCAATTACTTTGAAAAAGTCCGAGTATCGCTGGGTTATTTACAACGACACCTAATGTTGAGATACTAGGAATTGAGACAGATGCACAACGATCCTCGCGGAAGTGGAAGATCTCCAAACCAAACTCCATCGCTTGCTAATCGCGTGCGGTGACAATGAACCAGATTGCAGATTTACGGGTATCATTAGGCCGGATGGCTCATGCTAGACAGCTTCCACGTAATTGCTATCAAACGTTAGTTTGGTATATTCATGGGAAAGAATCGAGCAGGTCACCCACCTAGGAAAGATCCCCGTCCTGTTCCCAATTGTCCCCGTCCACCAGTCCGATGCATTCTCCGTTCTTTTTGTGATCGTAATAATCTCTCCTTTCTTGAAGGCTAGGTCACCAGCCTGATCCGCATCAAAGGTGAACAGCGCAATGGCCTGATCCTTCCCCATCGCTCCCGCCATCGGCTTTGGTGTGAACTTCGGCTTCGGCGCCGTAGGTCTGCCAGGCTTCGGTGAGTCGCTGTACGAATAGTCCTCTCCCACAGTGTTGGTCCGGCTTCGACCTCCGCTATTGGGTGGCCGATCATAGACATCATCGTTCCAGGTACTGGCCCGTTTCGGAGCCTCGTTGTATTCGTAGTCGTTTGCCATAGATCCGGTGCGATTTGTGCGCACGCCTTCATTGTAGCCACGGCCTGAACCGCCTTGCCAGACGACGTTGTCGTGACTGTCATCATAGATGGGGATGTCGTTGTACATAGCGTCTGAAGATGATGGCGATACTCCGGCGAAGACTCTGGAGTTCAAAACCCGCATGAGAGGTTCTGCGGCTGGAGGAGGGCGGACACCGCCCTCAAGCAACTGGCTTGCCGTGATGCGGCTGTTGTAGAGTTTCTCGTTTGCGTCGCGACGTTCGATCAGGACACTTCCTTCCAGACTGACACCAGCGAAGAGACCCTTTGTTTTCGAGTACGAGAACACCCCTGCCACACCCTTCAAGCTGGCTGCTCCTGCAGCTTCTGCATTGCGTCCAATGGGTCCTGCGGCGATGGACACATTGCCGCCGAGCGTGAGTGAACCTTTCTGAGAGAATGTGCGAACGGCAGCTGCATCGTTTAGAATGAAGACGAAGTCTGTGAGCTCGAATCCTATTTGTCCACCGAAGCCACCGCCGCCTGTCGCAATGGCTGACGGCGCTGACCAGGTACCATCCGAGAGACGGGCGATGACAATTCCGGAACCGAAACGACCTGAGCCTAGGAAGCCGGCTTTGAGGACTGTGATGATAGCAAGACCCTAGTGTGATCTATCAGAGTGCGGCTTCACATCAGCTGGGGACGAGGTCTCATACCTTTGCATTGGCTAAGATTTGAGGTGGTATAACCTTGTCTGGGCCAAAAGATTGCCGTGGGTCTATGAAAGATGCGAGGACCTGTCAATGCAAAGTCAGTGAGCGATGGCCTGATGAGTACCGAGGTGCCACGAGATCACCTTTCCCGCTTTCTTGCACTCGCTGGCTACAGAAGTAGGAAATGGATTGTTGATTCCAAATGGCATTTTCTCCGCCGAATCAATGCCTCTGAGATATCAAGCTGGTTGTTTCTTAACGAGAGTGGAGGAGGGTGTGCTCGTGAGTTTATGACCAGTATGCTCCGCCAACAACTCCGCGCGTAAGTCGGCGGTGCCAAGAGAAATGACGCACTTTTAGGGTTCGGTAGAGTGAAAGTTATGGTAATACATAATACGACCACCCAAAATTCAATGGACGACTACTCATCACCTCGTCAAACCTTTATTCCATTGCTCTCTTCGTGCTTTGTAAGAATTGCCATTCTAGCCTCATAAGTGATGTTGGATCTGCGCTGGAAAAGTGACTTGAGAATCCGGTCCATATCTGACGCCAGCTAGCTACAACCTCTCAAAGAATCCATTCTGCTTGGGTCACTGCTCCTACAGCTCCGTCAACTTGTTTGGTTAAAGCTTATGTGATCGCAGCATTGTATGTTATCTTAAATACATGAAAGCACAGATGAGGTTTCAGTAGATGGTGGCCTCGCAGACAGCCCACCCTGACCCCCAGGTTTCGCCACATATTGACACGCCATGTCTCTTGTTACTCAGCGTCTCCTTCAATACAACCATTCGGCACTTTTATCTACATTTTTGCTTTTGCTCTGAGCATGAGATCTCCATATTGCTGCTGCAATGAGAGCGGCTACAGTCCCATCCAAATTAACAGCCCATCTGCCAGCTGACCATTCGATTTATGAGGGCAGGTGATATCTGAACGGGCCATTTTCATGCTGCCGGGAGCAGAGCTATGAGAATACGCTCATAAAACCCCCTTCAACGAAAGCGGAGGATTGCTTTCCCTGAGTGTTAACGACAAGAAGGACGTTTTTCCAATCTTTGAGAAACTTTGGCCCAGAGCTATTCAGCACCCTAATTTGATTACGAGTCGCTGGTATCATCGCTCACTAGTCTGCCGTTTGGCTCACAGATATCTGGGCCTGACACATTGTCCTGGCTTGACGTTACAAACTCTTCCCCTCTTATCACAAATGAGTTTGGGTTTGACAAGCAATAATGAGTTTGACAAGCAATTGCAGATATGAAGGGCTCTCGTCCAATCTTCACAACGTAAATGCAGTACATCTATAAGGCATGAGGATATCTGCTAATACTTGAAAACAAGAACGTCACTAGTGACGGGGAGAACAGTGACCAATATATAAAAATAGAGAAAGGAAGAAGGATGCCTGGGCTATTGCTTCTATTTGGTCTATGAACCATGTCATTAGTATCCAGTCGGCTTTTCATATCATTTTTTCGGCTCAATCCAAGACATGTTGCCACTGTCCAGTCTAGTGACTTAATCTCGCTCACAGCCTTACCACTATTGTGCTGCCAGCCTTGACAGGAAGCAGATTACAAGCAATCTCGGCATATGTTCATTCCGTGGTATTCAACCCAGGAGCTGCAGGCAAACTTCTGGCTTTAACTCTTTTGGTGACCGGGTAACTGGATTATCTATTGGTTTTCCCCGCTTTGTGTGAATGCAATCCCGGCATGCATCCAGTCTGTGGTAGTCAACACACAACATTGCAGCGAACATGTTGCTGGATACTGTAGGAAACATGCCGTCATTGGCTCTCTCAGTGATCAGGTTAACACATCATCTCCCAATGTTCCCCACTTTGCGTGAACACAATCTCCGTTGAAGATGTTGGGCCATATAAGTATGGGTAAGTTTTCTCACACATACTGCTTGGGTTTAAAAATTCCCTCAGTCTATGATCCTTGATTTCCACACAAGCTACAAAGATGGACTCTCGTTCCAGAGCAAAACTGCTTCTAATCCCAAATGCCAAGCAGACCCAAGAAGAGATCTCTCAACTGATAAATTCCATTTTGGCTTTGGATCCAAAGCGCAGCACAGAAGAGGTTCAGTACGCAGCAACGCTTCAAGTACTGGCCCCAGCGTTAGAACGTCTCCTAGTGACCACCCAAGAGGAATCGGACAAGGAACATGGCACAGCCCTCCGTGACATTCAGCTAGAAGCTTCAAAGCGGACTCGAACCATCTTCGCCAACCATCAAAGATTGGGCTCCATCTTTGCGGAACATGGTCGTGATCTAAAGCATCGATGGCGGAACCGGAACCCTGATAGGCGGAGAAAGTTACTCCTAACCGCATGGCCAGGTGAGCCAATTTTCTCAGCCGTTGTTCCCTTGCCTAGGCAGAAGAGGGAGTTGCAAAGAGATAATTTCAGAGTATCAGACCACCAAGGACTATTGTGGGACTCAAAGACCGCCTTCAGATGGAAATGCTAACTTCGAAATCTCGATAGATATACCCCTAGTACATAGGCCAGATTTCGTCGCACTTAGGCAACAACGATCTTTGTGGGGCCTGGAGCGTAAAAGGGATGGGACCAAACACAAAAGTGCCTATCTCATGCCCCACATCAACCTTGAAGATCTTGGCAAGTCGAAAAACCTACTGCTGTTCATCGAGTCCCGAACGCGTAACGACCCAGAAGCCTTTGCCTGGTCGGATTCGCAGCAAATACGGATGGCTGCTTCAGCCGATGCCGTCAAAATAATGACGTGTACGGGGTACACCATGATGGTACGTACTCCCGGAGCCCAGTCTTTGCTGTTCTTGCTTTCAACACCAACCGATGAATCTAGAGACATGTGCTGCCAAAGTGTACTCTGTAGACATATTTCAAGGCTCAAGTCCATTCTCGAATAGGCATTGCTGACTCGAATATTGCCATCAGCTGAGCGGTCAAATGACACAAGAAGCCTATGGAGATATCGTCTCTTGGAAGGCGGACTCGAGTTCTATCCAGAGTCTTCTTATGGGCACAGGCTTCAATCCCAGCGAAGGGTTGATTGTGCTTGAGATACAGGATAGGACGCTGCAGTTTTTGATTACATGCACGGATCTCATGCGAGGTGTGAAAGCGGGAGCAACGATTGACCGTGCGCAAGCTGCGCCCACCGCTGGAACCGATGCTCAGGCTCAGGAGGCTGAAGCATCAGTCAAACCTATTCATGCTGGGCTCATCATTGACGATGAGACATCTCCATCAGAATCAACGGTGGAAGTCAACACCAAAGCGCCCTATCGCCAACCTCAGCATTTCTCTCTTGAATACCTTCGAAAGCTGGCTACTGCCAAAAAGGACGAAGCTGAAGATGAGATCTGTACGTGTACTTTCAAGTAACTCCTCTCCTCTGGTACCAGGGACTGGGTTCCAAGACTATTTTCAGGAGCAAAGCGCTCTATGTACTTCTTGGATCTGTCCTATACCTCGAGGTCTTTGTCTCAAAAGACTCATGCTGACTCCGAAATCTGCGTAGGGGCTCTAAGAGAAGACCCGTCTTATTTTCAGAATGTCTTGCAACACCGTTACCAAATGACCCTATACGTCTTCGAAAGGGTGTACAGCGTGGATGTCACAACGCTGAAGGGTAAAATTCTGCAAACAGCTTGTGGCAATATCATTCATGCCGCATACAAGTATCTGATAATATGGGATATTATCTTAGAGGACCTGCAGAAGCTCGAAAGATTGCACATGGGAATCGCGACATCGCCCGTCGAGCCACTACCGGACAAATACCAAGAGGCGCTTGCGAGTTTTGTGCTCGTAATAGACAAGCTAACAAAATACCCTTTGGAGGACCTGCGAAAGGTCTTACCAATGAGTGAGCCAATACGAGAGTACTTTGACCGCACCCGCAAGAACGACGGTAGTGTTGCTTATCTTCCTCGGAAGGACATGGAGATTCCGCCCATCATAGGGATGGTTTATGACCTCATGAATCCTGAGCGTACAGCGCTGATGGGCGTCCCAAACATCCTGGACGATGTAGAACGGATCATGCGCAAGGACAAGAGACAGAAAGGCCTCATCACCACCGAGGTTGCGAAGACATTGTCAGAGACAGCCGCACTTGGGGAGATCCATGCGCGGTTGAGTTGCCATCAACCTCGAATTCAGCTCCCGATGGATCTTGACTTGTCTCTTGCCGATGTGGAGTCGCGCATCAAAATCATCGCCGTGATTCAGAAGCAGATGGAGGGCGTCAGCCTCGATCAATTTGTGACACCAGCCCAGGATTTCGACTACCCTGCAAATGCGAGAAGAACACAAAAGACCGTTGACAGACTTCGCGCGGAAGAGACGATGCTTGACACATTCTGGCAGCAGGTAGATCAGCACTTCACAAAGACTTGCGGGAAGACACTCAATGGCTTCATGGGAGACAGGATTTCTGAGCGTGAAATTGAGCGTACTGGTACCTGGCAGCCGGCAGTAGTCCGCCCAAAACAAAAAAAGAAGGCGACCCCACAACCAACACCGGAGGAAATTGAGGCTTTACGGACGTTCCAAACGGAAGCAGAAAGCAGCACACCACTTGCCGCACGACCGAAGGAGAAAGTCAAGACGCGCGGTGTGGCCAACCCTCCACCGGACCTCGGCGCGGCTGGAGAGCCAGCGGCAGAAGTTACGGCTGAGCCTCAGGCACAGGTGTTCGAGCTGGCGAAGGAACCCTACAAAACCATGCGCAAGTTCTTTCCAGCCGACGTCCAGGATCGAATCGGAGCCAAAGTCTCGTGGAAGGACTTTGTGTCTGCGATGCAGAAGCTTGATTTCAGCATCAAGTCTCTTGACGGCTCGGCGTCGCTTTTCGAACCGGCATGGAAGCCGGAATCTTCCATCATTTTCCATGAGCCTCATCCCGGGAACGAAATACGGTTTGACCTTCTGCGACGTTATAGCGGTAGGCTGTTTAGGAAGTACGGATGGACCACGGAAACCTTTGTCCAAGGGTAATCCCTGGTCATTGGGAAGCTTTGACGTCTTTGGTTTTTGGAAATGAGTGATCTCTCTTTGACACGAATGGCTGGAAAGATCAAAAGTCTTCGGCTTCGGGGTTTGCATGGTAGGTAGAGTTCGACGGCCGAAAGGGGAATATCGTGGTATGAAAAGCACACGCGAGTACTGTACATGATCATCGCACAATTACTGGCATCATGAAATCTGTTGTTTGGAAATTAGTCTTTTTTTGCGTCTAATCATGTTGTATGAAAGGCTTTGCAGCGTCTACGCTCTATTCCCTATGCTCCATGTTCCATGCTCCATGCTCTATCACGTTTCTCATCTACATCAATTCAGATCTCTCAATATGCTCCAATCCATCCTCTCTCGTCATCACTCTGCAAAGCCTTTTCTATGGCACGGTAAGAAAGCAGTCATAGTAACACTCACATGTCATCACACCTTCGCTTGTACCGCCTGTACAGGATGGAAATCGCCATCCTTGGTCTTCTTTGCTGTCGCTCGTAGATTCAAACGTTCCTCTTTCGTCAAGGGTATCTCGCTGCCGCGTCTCGATTCTCTGGAATCCTTCGTTTCGACCAATGAGGCGTTTTCGCCGTCTTCGTTGGCAAATTCGTAGGACCTGAGTTCGACGTTTTTCCAATCCGTACCTTAGTAATTGTTAGCCTCGTCCTTCCATCAATTTTCCAGCGTCCATACGTACCCATGGCCTTGTCGAAGTCCGACTGCGCACATTTCGGAGTCAGCGTTGCAGTTCAAGGCAAAACTCAGACTCGCAAGACAAGTCTCGGGAGTAGGAAGAGCCGTTTGCTCCCGAAATATGTCTTGCAACTCAGAACTCGGCATTGAAAAGGGAGGAATTACTCCGGAATGTACGAATCCAGTCTTCGGTAAAGTAGTGAAGGAAGCCACCATGGGTAACAACCACAATCTCGGCTTCCGGTCTAGCCTTCAACCATTGTCTCGCCTCCCTCGCTCTCTTCTCAACAGCACTCGCGGAGGGTGGCCCGTTCCCAGTCGCACACTTCTGGGAGAGCGATGACGGACATGCCCTTCTCTATCAGGGGTTTGAAGCCGTACAAGGCGGTGTAGATAGCTCGACGGAGGGGCGAGGCGACTATGGCACCGATTGATTGATAGTAGGGGAAGTCTTGGGCGAATTTGTGGCATTGTTCTTCCCCGAATGGAGTCAGGGATGGGTCCGGTAAACTGTGATTAGCCACGGAGAGGTTGTGATAGCCTGTTGAGTCAGCCAAGGAGACTTACGCCCTATGTGGTCTTGGAGTCTTACCCTGAGCGTGCCTGACGCAGTGGATTACGGGTGCCATACCGATGGAGTCGTCAGCAGAGTGTGTCGAAGAAATCTTCACTGTCCTTTTGCAGCTGCCAAAATTGTTTTCGAGCGATACACTTTATAGTTTTGCCGCAGAGTAACGATATTTGTACGGGAAGATCAACGAAAACGAATGCCAGCAGTAGGTTTCCAAAAACAGGCAAAGAATGTCGAAAGAAACAACGCAGGACCAGGGGGATGTTCTTTTGATGGGAAGCCTACAGGTAGCCGGGTAAACCTCGGTATTCAGACTTCTGTCACCCCTGGCGCAGGGTAAGTAAGCTGCACGCTTGGTAGTAGAATAATCCCCGAAGTCGGCCGGAGATAGCACTGGCAAATATTCGGCAGCGCCTGCCCAGGGGTCTTTTGCCCGATCCTCCACCTGCTCCTTCACCAACTCACTTCGCTCCTTTAGCTTTGGCTGAAATGAGAAGCTTGATCAGCAATGCTGTTGCCATTTTCAGGTTACAACCTGCCGGAGGAATATTGGCCAGCGTAGGCCGAAATCAATACCACTCCTACAATATCCCCATTATCAAGACCATAGACGACGAAACCCATGTCAAGATCAAACTTGGTATTGGTAAGCAAGTCGAATTACGGTAGGCGAACTCGTCACATCTAAACATGAACGCTTTATAGCCTTGCTGATACCTTTGCAGCATTCGCTATCCTCCCAGGCCAGAAAGTAATAGCCCCATCATCATCTTCCTGAGGCGCGGCATTCCTACGCCGACGCAGTGTGAATCTCATCTCAAAGATCTCGCCGTTGGCGCAAATGCCACTGCTGTTGAGATAAATTATAGGCTCTCGACACAGAATGGCTATCCACTTCCTATACATATGGTCGGTACTTTGGATGCTTTACGGAAAGACGTGGAGTTAAATGCAATGTCTAGGTACTCGCAGGTTATGATTGGACTCGAGCGAACCTTGCCCGCGGTATTCATACAGGTTATAAAGGACTGAGGATGACCACCAAACCCTCGAAGATCGGTGTATGCGGCGAGCTGGCTGGGGGAAGCCTAGCTACGATGCTGGCTCTGACAGAGTGCTTCTATACGCCTGCAGAGCTAGAGCCCCAAGGCATCAGCGCTCTGGCAGTCGGAAACCCAATCCTTGATTGGACTGCGTTGACCCCAAGCTTTGCGAGACGAAACGCTCCCCAAGCAGGACTCTTCCGCAAAGTTCGTGGTTTTCCCGGAGGCGCTAACAATGAGTCTCTTTCTGTCAATGGCCTCTGCGATATCCGAGAAGCTTTCTTCTCGAAAGCAGAAAGATATTTCGACCCATTTGCTAGTCCGCTGCTGTTTTTCCGCACACCGAGTTCTGAGATCCCGAACCAGGCTGCTACATCTACTGAAGAAAGCCTTCTCAACGGTGGTCCGGAGGATGAGAATTTTTTCTTACCGCCTGCCAAGAAGCGTCTTTCGGCTCGCAAATATCCACCAGCGGGCTCGAATCTGATGTTACCTTGGACAAGAGTGGTGTTAGGGAAGGATTGCGAGTTCAAGGATCAAGGGGTAGACCTCGTTGAACTGATGCGAAAGAGCTTCAGACGCTCGGAAGTCGAAAGGACAGCCGATGCGAAGCCCATTGTTAGAAGGAATTTTGAGGTTGAGGAAAGGGAGGGCATTGGGTTGTGGGACGAGAAGCATATGCTTGAGATAGGGCAGTGGTTCGGTGAAAAACTAAGAAAGCCGTGATCGACGGTTGAGCGAAAAGGACCAAACTACTATACATTGACCCGCCGTGATCAGACAAGACCTGGCAGATTTGGGATTATATAAACTTGTCTGCTTGCAGAGGGCGCCCACAAGCTTTGCAAGCATGGGTGGAGTAGCTCAACTCCTTCCACTTGGCAACCAAGGCTGCTAAAAGTTGTCATTGCTTCGACAATAGATTCAGACTTGGACCATGATGGTGATATCTGAAGCTATTTGCCACACCTTTGCATCACGATTTCCACAGACTCAAGTCTCGGTCAGCAGAAGCTTATGGCTTTAGTAGATACGTGCTTGTCTTAAAGGGCTATGGATTCAAAGCATGGCAACAAGATATTCTCTGCTCCAACGGAGTGGGACATTTGTTGAAAAATCGGTCTCGGGCAGTATTCAGATAGGGCAAAGGTGCTTCTCCAAGTTGATGCTTGACATGAATCTATGGGCTTGACCTGCAATTTTGACGAACGATACGGCCGTTTGACACACCACCTGCAACTCGAGGTACATTCGAAACGCGCAATGCTCGCCTTGCGCTCTCTGGCATCCCATTTCATTGTCACCTCCTACCCCATGATCCCCCCAAGAACGACCTCCTTCCGGGTCGTTGTCGCGCCTTGCTCTCCACCGGAACGATCCTCCTCCGGGTCATGATGAGCTTCGCTGTATGGATCTGGGCAGCGCGACCAATCCCCACCCTTCCACTGAGTACAAACGCCTAGCAACTCAGTTAGCGTTGTGTATGAGGAATCGTCCAATCTCTCGTAGTGTCATACCAAGCAGTCCAATCCCTCGGGGCGTCGAACGTGGTAAAGCTCTTGGTCATGATATCACTCAGCCGATCGATTACTTCGTCGCGACAGCGGTTGATCGCAGGTTCCCCGTCGATGTGTGAGAGGAGAGGAGTGCTTGGAAGGCTGCGCACGTCCATGTCCAGCCCTAGTGACCTGGTCATGAGTCGCCATTGGTCGGAGGATCTGTCACCTGAATGGATCCGTTCAAAGCGAACGCATTCTGCTTCGGTGGTTTGGTCCATGGTGGTTGTACGCGTTGGAAGGGGATGACGGGAGTTGCAGATCAATGGAGAAGCATGCCTGGCTACTTATGTTGGATCTCAACAAAGCGAAAGCAGCAGCAGCAATGAGCCGGCGGCATGCATAGATGCAAAAGGAGAATCCTTGGACACAACGTTCTCACGAAGGACCGGTCTTTGTTCAAGAAAAAGTGGAGAGGCCCAAATTGGACGTTATGTGCAGAGGATATCCGCCATTTGATATATCGAAAAGAAGCAGTGAACGCAAAGAAATCTTTCGCAAGGTATGGAATTCGAACCCATGCATCTATCGATACCAGAGCCTTGATCTGGCGCCTTAGACCACTCGGCCAACCTTTCATTGTTGTGGGGTTCCTGTTGACAGCTATGACTCACCGTGTAGAAGGAATGAAAATGTTGCTACACTATCGCTATACATACCCATGGTCGTTCCGCTAGAAACAACGAGCAAAAACAAACAATAACATCTGCAAGGTGTAAAATTTGAACTCACGCATTTTTCGATAGTGGATCTTGAATCCACCGCCTTAGACCACTCGGCCAACCTTGCGGTCTAATTGTTAACGAAATCCTATCACTACCTGTGGCTCACTGACCTGGTAAAAGTAAGAGAATGCAGCAAAATCCATGCATAGAGGGGATTTCAGATCCTCGAAACCCAACAGGAGAAAGCTCCCTCTCTGTTCATTTTCGCGTTGTCAACCAAAGCACATCGGCTCTTCTGGTCAAAAAGTCTTGAATATAGAAGACTACACCCATGGGCATCTATATTTGCACGTAGGATGACAATCACTTGAGAGACTTTATGACCATTGTCGCTTTTTCTCACAGGGCGCCCGATATGTAGATCTTCAACAACTGCAGTCAGATTTGTCGCCCTCTATGCATGACTTTTGCTGCATTTCCAGAAGTCTTAGCTACATGACTCTACTGCACAGAAGTCTGATCTACAATCATGGCATACTCTCTCTGAGCTTTGCTTTTACTTTACTCCATCTCAGAGATCTCTTTCACCGTCTCTGAAACGCCTGTGTCAAAGGTCATCATCCCTTTATGGATGAAGATCCAAAGCTCATCTGCTTCCATCCACCTGCCGATGGACTCCTCCCATTGCCGTGCCCTGCGAAAGCTTCTTCCGCACAATGATAATATTAACCCTGTCCGGAATCCCCGCTGGACCGCGTTTCACTTCCGCCAGACCTCTTTCGATGCTCCCAATCGCATGTAAGCGCCTACACTACCAGTCAACCTACTTCTTCCAGCCACATGCAGCCATCCATCAGTCAGTCACGCAGATGGAGCCGGAAACCGTAAATTACCATAACGTCCAGCCATTGTCTGGCCCGAAGCTCTCGTTCAGTACCCTCGTGAGGTAGTCGATCAGGTGATCGACGTCGCGACTTGGCTGGAGGAGGATGCAGGGAGGGCTGGCTGGGATCTGGGCATCGGATATGCGCAGGCCGGGGTGGTTCGCGATCCTCCACGATGCGGTCGAGTAGCCATTGTTCGAGCCCGGTCGTTCGAGGCGGAGGAGTCGGCCGTCCATGATGAAGGCCCTTGGGAAATGTTCGGAACCTAAATACTCTGGGTAGTTTGGGTTCGCAGGAAGGCTTACGCGAGATGTAAGTGCTGCAAACCGCTGGCAAAAATCGCCGCCGGGTGGGTTTTGAGCTTCGAATGCATGTACAGCCCGGACTCGCCGCAGACACGGTTCACCTGCATGTTGACACCCGACCTCGCAGATACACAATCCCAGATGCGGTTAGTGACACTTTGCTTTGAATGTGTGTGCCCACTCCCATCGTTGCATTCCAAATGCACTTGTGAGGCCTATATTAAAGAGAAGCGCTGGCACCAAGGACCGATGACTTGCAATATACTTAAGTGATTTCTCCCGGACTTGATACTGCCTCCTATACAAGACGATACATACACATCCCTACCTTCATCGCTGGGCCAGCACTCCAGCGGCAGTGTCTCTGCCGTCAGGCTTTTAGCCATGCTAGACCCGCATCGAGTGCCCTTCTGCCTGTTTTCTGTTCGCACTATTCCAGTCACGTTCAGAACTCGATATTCCGTCCTGAAAGGACTGCTTGGGTGATCCAGGAGAGGATGGAGCAAATCAGTCAGCTAATCCGGAGTGACGCAGAGCACCTACCTTCCCACGCCCTGCACGCGGGAGCCGAATTCGTCGTACCAACCACACATAAAGTCTGACAGATTAGAAGAAACGACATCATTTGGACCTGCAATGGCGTGAGACCGCATGTCCGACGCAACGGTAGGCCAGATGCTTGCGATGCCGGCCGTTTCAAGTGATAACCAACTTCGCAAAACCACCGAGCTAAGTTCATTTCGTCAGACTCGAAGACGCGGCTGTCGTGCCCTTTCCCGAGGCTCATATCCATCTCGTCTTCGGCGCTATGAAGAATTACATCTTTAGCTCTGTCCTTGCAATTGACGGGTTGGTTCTTGTGTCGACGTATTGCACACAGTGTATAACATCCCTGCTATCCAGGTAGGGTTTCCCGTGGGTCCTGCCAATGAGGAATCTGAAAGGGACGGATGATTTGTGACCCTTTGTCTTCGGATTCGTAATTAATAACTCTTTTCATTCGATTCTTGCATCTCTATTTCACTGGCGAGGGGCCTCATCAATCAGGTACCATTTCGTTGAGCCCAGGTCAGCAAGAGATTGAATTCACTCCTTGAGGTAAGCCATGTCGTCTGCATCTGATGTGTCAAACAGGCGAGGTGCCAAGAAAAAGTTTGCATTCGAAAGGGTACAAATCCTTAATAAATCGACGGAATCACAATGTCAACAAGGAGTTGTCTCGCTGCTTGATCCTCCAATCCGAAGGAATCCTAACAGTTAAAGACCAGACAGACTTTCTGGATATGATACCCTAACTCGACGTCAAGAACGAGAAAATTGCGGATGGGGAAGTTGTCGCTCAGCATCCTGTTAGTCCCGCGATCACAAACTTGATGAGCAACACTCTCTTCCGATCCACACGCACCGATCAGACTTCCCCGGAACCCTTACGCACTCCGTGTGCCTCAGTCCCGCAGCTTCGAGCACGGCATAGGTAGCGATTGCGGTTCCCCGACAAGCGAAAACGGAACCAGGCTTTCGACTTTTCGAGAGGTGAATTGGCCGAAGAGGTGGTGGGTGCGCAAAGCAGGCTTCGGTTCAGGTTTCAGGGGTTGCGCTGTCAAGGATGGTGTGCTGCATGCTTCCTGACGAGCAGTGTTGATATCGTTTTCACAGACTCGATTGGTGGAGTTGATAAATAGGGTCGTAGGGCTGAGGGTAAAGCGAACCGAGTCATGTCACCGAGGAGCTTCGAGCCAGCGTTCGCCTTTCGGAGTTTGCTTTCACTTCTTTATGGAATAAAGAACTTGTGAATGATTTTCGATTGTTGATACAGATACCGGGTCACAGAGATATTGGTAACATGGATCATTGGTGCTCGGTGAACAGCTGCCTGTGCCAACCTATCTCATGCCATATTTACAAGTTTAGATCTTTCCATTCCAATAGTTCTTCACATACGCCGAAGTATGTACATCCCCCAGCACCGATGCAAACGCTCTCGTTGCCTTCACAACCACCTTGACTGCATCAGAACTGTGACGCGCTCCGAGCGCCACAGGCAGCTCACCATTGCTATAGTCGTTGAAGTATTCATGGGTGGCCTCCTCCAATCGATCCCAGACGAACGCTCGATCTTTTCTAAAACGCTTCTCATTGTTCAGTAGTGCGACCCACTTGTCTTCGTCATCGGAGTCGTCCAGGCCATCGTACTTGCGCATGATTTTGTGGTCGAAACGCGAGTTGAGCTTGTTCACGACGTCTTGAGAAGCTTCTATGCCGCGGAGATAGATCTCTGCGGCCCGTTTGAGGGCTATAACGCAGACCAGATCTTCTCCGTGGGTCTTGACAAAATGAGTGAAGGTGTTGCTCATGCACCACAGTAGCGGCAAGCTTGTGAGCGGGCGAGTCGATGCTAGCTCGAAGTCCGCAACGACTGATCCCTCGAGCGAGCGGTCGAAGTCGTGGTCGAATAATCCAGTCTGTGCAGAAACTGAGGGAGCGGGTTGGTCGGGATTTGAGGCCAGCTGGTCTGCTTGTGTTATCGGGCCTTCCGTCGCTGAAAGCGATTCGACTTGTGAGATCGGAGGTGCGCCTGCGAGCGCGAGCAGGCTGTCGTCCTCCGCTGTGATACCCTCGACGTAGAGTGCCTGGCCTTGATCTTGGAGCTTGCGTTCTCCTGAGCCACGCCATCGAGTTAGCCGCAAGACCTTGTCGTTCGAGAGGGATGAGGTTACCTTGGCGAGGGAATAGTCCCTCAGGCCCAAAATCCATCCTCGCCCTCAAAGCCTTCTCGTTTGCTCTGAACCACCAATGGAGCAGGCGCAAGCGTTGCTGATCCGCTTTGTGCCTCAATTGCTTCTTGTTCTTGACGCCAGCCAGTGCATACTCGATATTGGTGTTTATGGCCCGTTGCTTCTTTGATGGAAGCGCATCGAATACGTTGTCGTCTACGATCATGTCAAAGATGTGTTGTTTGTTTGGTGGGTGTGTGGCGCTATCTTCGTCCCAGCAGCTAGGGTGAGTGAACGGCGAAAGCTCTTCGGGGCGAGTGGTGTGTGATTTGAAGTGGCGTGAGAGCGCAGCTCTTGAGCCATGTTTCTTGTCGCAAACGATACATTGGAAATGCTTATGGACGCCAGCGTCCAGGGAACGGAGGGCAACACCGTTCTTGCGGGTGACGGAGCGGGTGGTGACAGGAGGACAGGTGGATTGGGTAGGTGCCATTGCAAAGACAGAGATCGATAATCAAGATTGAGAGAGTATTACAATGTAGACCAGCTACAGCCGAGAGAAGACGATACAAGAAGTGGAAAGCAGGGGAGCTGAAGATAGAAGTTTGATGTGATTAGGGGAGTGTGTGTGGTGTAGAAAGACAAAACGAGGTAACAGAGGAAGCACACGGTGCAATGAGACAGGAAGGTATACTTGTAGAGGTGAACAATAAGGCACGAAAGAGCCAATGGCTCCCATTGTCAAATTCGAGCATGCTATTGTTGTATTGCTAGTTCAAATCGCTTCCTATTGATGAAATTGTATCAAACCCTGTGAAGTGAATTCGAAAAAGGAACGGATGTAAGAAATCTAACTGGTCCACAAATACATCAATTGCCTATCATTAATGCATCAGAATGTGAGTATATTTATAGTAATGTTTTTGAGAATGTTTCGTACTCATGAAACTGTTGAAGCTATCCGCGTGTCCTGCTTCAGTCTTCCGGGAAGCGCCACGGCGCTAGAGCATCTACCCGCGTGCCAAGGGATGATGCCTTGGCAAAGCTTAGCTAATCGTTGCCCCGCCATGGCCGAGTAAACACATGGCTAGGGAGGCCAATCTCTTCTCCATGTACAAGCGTTGTTGGCCGTCCCACCTACCTTACTTCCCTACTCTCTATATCGTACCCACATTCATCTATATACAAGCATCTCCATTCACGAAGACTTTACGACATCTACTTCACAATTTGAGCATTGAGCATTGATACCCCCAACTGCGCCATCTGTTTACTTTCTCCAAAGTTCCTCGCCAGTCCTTTGTCCTACTGTCCAAATTCTTCGCCGCAGCGAACTCATATATCAATTCCCTAAGCATCACACTGGGAACCACTCCTTCGAACCTCATTGCAAACCAACCCAGTCGAACAAGCATCCACTCGCCCTGCGGACCATCCTTCCACCGCTTGCTAGCCTCCCGCCCACCTTCCAAGCAACGAATTCCCGCTTTCACCAATCCTCACCGCACTTCCGTGTCTCAAGGCAGCCTCTCTCTCGGACGCCACGGCCTAGAGAAACCCTCCGCCTCAGTCCCACCTCCCAGCCTCCGGCTTCCTCGCCGAACCCCCAAACCTACCACTTCTCCGCATCCAAATTCCGTCGAACCGCCTGATCGAGACACCCGCCATCATGGTCCAACGTAACATCGTCGTCGCCATCATCATCATCGTCCTCTTTGTCGTTCTCGCCGCCGTCGGCTACGGCATCTACGCCATTCAGAACCAGCTCTCCATGGGGGGCAGGGGGAGGAGGGAACTGGACGAAGAGGAGTGATGAAGGCTTGATGGGGGCTGGGTCGCTGCCTCCATCAAGGCCTATAGGGGATTGAGGATTGGGAAGGGGTATGGCAGACGTCATGGAGCTGTATAGACTTGAGGATGATTTTCGAATTGTGCATAGCGATAGCAGAACTATTTTTAAGCATATAGGAAGGACGATACTGTACGCGTCTGCTTGGACGCAGGGTTCGGATATAGCGGAATGGAATGTCCACCAAAGTGGGCAGAATTGGCACATGTTAGATACATTACAATAATGCTCAAACTGGAAATGGGTATATACCTAATGCAAGCAAATACACAACCAATTCCAAAATGCCTGTCGCCCTTGCAGTTCATGCGGAAACTTGCACCGAATCCTGCAGCTCATTATTCATCACCCTCACAACATTATCGACG